TTTACTCTCATATTTCCTTATATTCACGTGTGTCTTCTGGGCCAGCTTAGTATTTCACACGTGTGTTTCGTTGGTGTAAAAATCACGCATCAACATCAATTATTTAGATTCATTTTTATTTTAAAAAAAGAAAAATATAAAAAAAACATGTACTTTTTAATATATCATAAGATAAATGTTTTATCTTTTATGACCAGCGTCTATCAACCACAACTTTATCTTTTGTTTTTTTGGCATGCTAATCTCAATAGAATCTGCTATTTTGTCCCATCTTAGGAAACAGAGAGCTAAATTTTCTTTCTTTCCCAAAAAAAAAAAAACAAAAAAACAAAAAAAAAAAAACAAAAAAGAAGATAATAATAATAATCTGCTATCTTGTCCCATCTTAGGAAAAAGACAGCTAAATTTTCTTTCTTTCCAAAAAAAAAAAAAAAAAAAAAAAATAATAATAATAATAATAATAATAATAATGCTCCGTAATTGGGAAATTTATGCAGTTGTGATATTTATGCAACTGCGAAATTCGAGGATAAAGATAACGACTCCCATTCTAGAATTTCACAATTGCAAATATCACTTAGACACCAAAAAATTATGGGCTTTTTTTAATTGTATCTTTAAATATATGTGAAGATCACAAATAGGTAAAGATTTCAATAATTTAGATTCATTTTATTTAGAAAAAAAGATTAAAAAAATATACTTTTTAATATATCCATGAGATAAATGTTTTACAACTTTAAGAAGTTGATCTGGCGGTTAAAGAAGTTTGCTTCCTCAAGTTTCTGGCCCCAAATCTTAGAGCCATATAACACAATAACGTTGTGGTTTATTTGGTCTTTTATACTTGGAAGGATGTTCAATAAATCCCAGAGATTAGTTAAAGTGTACGTAAACTGACCAGTTACCACAAAAAAAAAAAAAAATTGATCTTTTTGTGACCAACAATTATCAACCACAACTTTATCCTTTGTTTTTTTCACACGCTAATCTCTAGAGTACCGTCATCTTGTCCCCTTTAAGGAAAAAGATGATTAAATTTTCTTTCTTTCCATAAAAAAAAAAAAAAGAAAAAAGATGCTTCACAATTGAAATATTTATGCAATAATAAAGATAGGCTGACAAACTATTTTTACTAACTTTCTTTCACAAATCCGATGTAGTAATTCGTAATTAGTTAGCTTACATTTGATCAGACATAACTTATTGTTGGCAAGTGAAACTTATTTATGAACTAATTAACTATGAATTGCCATGTGGTATTTGTGATATTTATGCTATTGTGAAATTTGAGCATAGAGATGATGATGATTCTCCATGCTCAAATTTCACAATAGCATAAATATCACCTAGACATCCAAAAATTTACTAGAATATCATAATCATCTTACATGGTTTTAAAAATATTACAAATTCCTTTAATTTTAAAAATATTATTTGACTCAACCCCAATAATTTGAATAATTTTTGTGATGATTAAAAAATACTTAAATATGAAGCAATATTTTGGATACAATTCCCCAAAAATGTTTATCAAACATGAACCAATATATACTATATAAATATATATATATATAGATATATATATTTATATATATATAATTAATATATATATATCTACACTTATCTATGATACAATCGGATATCGGACATGTTGAAATCCCATTTTACAAAAATATTGAATAAGATGGAATTGGCCAGCAGGGATAAGAAGAAACTCAAACGCTCAAGTCCTGCTGGTGCCCCATTTATTTTTATGTTTTTGGAAAAAGAATAATAATTAAAAAAAAAAAACCATAGGCAAAACTTAATCAAGTGGATGAAAAACTGGAGCCTCAAGTTTTGATATACGCTGACTTGACCGGGATATATTGATTATTGAAAGAATTTTTCTGGTAAGAACAAAAATAATGTCACATGCCCATCATATAAATGTTTCCCGTAGTTTACCTATGCAATAAAGATTAGTTGGCAGTCCGATCTCACAAATTTTTTCTTATGATCCTATATGGTAGTTTCTAATTTTTTGTTGATAAATTTTAAATTTTAGAAAATTCATCAACAAAAAATTGGGAACTGTCATGTAAGAATTATAAGAGAGAATTTGTGAGATTGTAAGTGTAATATTAATATTTACAAATGTTTTCTAACTTGCTTTATATTAAAAAAAGATTGATACATTTGCTAACCATTACGGGTGTGATTGGTTTAAGAAAGGTTAGATCACTGGGAATATTAAATTATTAAAAAATTAGATTATTTTAAAAATTGTTATGAATATTTAAGAAAATATGTTTGATTAGTTAGAATAAATTAGTGGGTATATTTTATTAATATATTTGATTGAGAAGAATAAATTAGTAGGTATATTATTTAAATTACTGAATTATCCTCTAATTAAATATTATTATTATATTATTTTTAATATTGATTATTATAACCCCTGCATTTAAAAACTTAGCAAAAACAACTCCATAATAAAAGTTTAGAAAATCAATAAAGCATCCCCACAACCCAGCCACTGCTGACCGTCGGCAATCGGCAATCGGCAATCTAATGGTGCACGGAAGGCAAGAAATGACATTCGTGCTCCGTATGGCCATTTCTGGCCAGAGATCTCGCCGTTAACGACTACAGACGTAACGGCCATCAATCTGGCCGTCAACGACCAGATCTATCATGATCTGGCCGGAAATGGCCAAATCGGTGCACGACGGCCATTTTTGGCCTTCCGTGCGCCTTTCCGAAGACGGCGGCTAGCCGCGGCAGTGGTTGCCGGCCGTAGGTGGGTGGGGGGTGGTCGCTTAGGTGGGCTGCAATTTGTTTTGAATTCAAGGGTAATTTTGTCCAAAAAGTTAAATAATTGGGGTGAAATAGTAAAAACAACATTTATGTAAACAAATTTAAAAATAAGGGCATTATTGTCCTGAAATTTTATTAATAAGAGACAAAACTGTAACAAAAAAAAAGATTACCTGATAATCTTATAATATCTAAGAAAATAGAGATAATCATATTACCTCTAATATTATTAAAGATTATCAGAATCTTATATTACTTGACAATCAAATGGGATAATCAAGTAATATAAGATGACATAATCCAATAATCCCACATCAACCCCTTACCAAACGGCCCTTGTGAGTTTTTCTTCCTTCCAGTCAAAGAACATGGCAGACTCGCTACCGTCTAGTATTGCAACAAATAGGTTAAATAGTTGTTGTAACTATATCAATTCAGTTAATTGATACAGTTTAGTTTCAGTTCAATTAGTTAGTTGGTTACTTGAGTTAGTTACAACCTGAGTTAGTTAACTAGTTAGTTGAGTTAATTTATCTTAAGGTAATATAAAGCATTTGTATAATAACGATACAAAGTGAATCAATAAAGCAATTTTTCTCCAAATTTCCCTCTGTTCAACGAGACTGAAACTCTTCAACATGGTATTAGAGCTTCAATTTGCCGCAATCTAACTTGAAAATCAACTGAATCAAGCTTCCAATTTGATCTTTGCTAAGCTCGATAGAGCTTAAAATTTCTCAGTTTCTTCATTCTAGCTTGATTTGCTAAGAATTCAACGTCGATAATGACATCCTCCACTAAAGAATCAGTTGTTCCTTCAACCGATTCAAACTCTCCTCTCTATGTTCATCCTTCTGATACACTAGGTACTGTTCTTGTTTCTGAACAGCTTGTAGGAACAGAAAACTATGGATTATGAAGTAGAGCTATGACTCTTTCTCTATGTGCAAAGAATAAATTAGGTTTCGTTAATGGAACATGCACAAAATCATCAATTCATACTCAGTTAGTGCCACAATGGGAAAGATGCAATTCCTTAGTGTTGTCCTGGATCTTTAATTCAATATCAAAAGAATTTTTTAACGGAATTGTATATTCTACTGATGCTTACCAAGTTTGGCAAGATTTAAAGGAACAATTCCATAAAGTCAATGGGACTAGGATTTTTGGTATCCATGGAGAAATTGCTAATTTTATACAGGGAACAAACACTGTAGCAGTGTATTACAACCAACTGAAGTCTCTGTGGGATGAGTTAGATTCGTTAGTAAGTCTACTTGCTCCAGATAGTGTATCAGCAAAAGCATTCCTTGAACACCTGAATCAAAAGAAATTGTTACAATTTCTGATGGGATTGACTGACTCATATTCTATGGTTAGGAGTCAAATCTTGTTGATGAACCCATTGCCAAGTGTTAAACAAGCCTATTATGTAGTACATCAGGATGAAAGCCAGAGAATTCTTGCTGGCATGAATGTTAATTCAAAGGTCACAACTACACTTTATGCTCAGAACAACAGTAAGCATCAGAATCTAGGCCAAAAATATAAAGGTAAAAGACCATATATTGTGTGTGAGCTTCTTTGGCTGGTACAACTCCTCACAAAACTTTATGTTTCAAAGTCTCAACTATTGCCTATTCTCCTACATTATGATAATCAAGCTGCAAACCATATAGGTTCTAATCCCATGTTTCATGATAGGACAAAACACATTAATCTTGACTGCCATATGGTCAGAGATCAGCTCAAACTTGGTCTCAAACAAACTGCCTATATTCCTACTGCAGAGCAACCAGCTGACTTATTGACTAAAGCACTTGGAGGTCACATTCATTCTAAGTTATTACACAAGTTGGGGGTTTTTGATCTCTACCACCCTCCAACTTAAGAGGGGGTGTTAAATAGTTGTTGTAACTGTATCAGTTCAGTTACTATATCAGTTTAGTTTCAGTTCAATTAGTTAGTTGGTTACTTGAGTTAGTTACAACCTGAGTTAGTTAACTAGTTAGTTGAGTTAATTTATCTTAATGTAATATAAAGCATTTGTACAGTAACGATACAAAATGAATCAATAAAGTAATTTTTCCCCAAATTTCCCTCTGTTCACCGAGACTGAAACTCTTCAACAAAAATGTTTTGGAAACGAACCTTAATTCACCAAAAACATGGTTTTATGGATTCTTTCAACAAAAATAATGAAGCTCAAAGAAGCGGCGTGCAAACTCCAGGCTGCCAGGGCAGAGCTAGAGCAAGCACAGGGTATACATGTAGCTGAGACACAGCTAGCACAGACTAGAGTGACAGACGTTTCAAAGATGTTGAATACTGCTGCGGATATGTTGCATAAATTGGCAAGTGACAGACCCCAGGTATGCAAATTCATTTTGAGCTTCATATATTATTGTAAGATCAAGGGGATTAGCAAAAGGTTAGATGCAATGAGAGATACTTTGCAGGATGTCTTTAATCTGGTTGCGCATGACATTAGGCGTGTTTATCCGAGGGACTGGGTAGTAAGTGACACCTTCGTGGATACTTCCTAAGTTTTCGATAGAGACGTTGATAAGGAAAAGGTTATAAATTCTTTGCTGAAAACAAGCCATCTTCATTTATCTGTAACTGCTATAGTTGGGAAGGCAGGTATAGGAAAAACCACTCTAGCCAAACTGGTGTATAATGACAAAAGGATAGATGATCACTTTGATCTCAAAATGTGGATATGTGTACCTGCGGACCCTGATATAAATATCTTGATGCAACGAATTTATGGTTTTGCAGCCAATCAAAATCCTGATAACTTAATAATATTGGGGGATAAGTTGGTATCCCTCTTGCAAAAAGCATTGCTTGGAAAGAAAATTTTGCTTGTTTTAGACAACGTGTTGAATATGAATAATGACAATTTTTTAAGGTTAATGAAAGTACTGGAGGAAGCCGATGAATGTAAAATTTTGGTTACTACCCATAGTAATCTAATTGCAAACGATATAGGCGCCATTGACAGTCATGTTTTAGGAGGTCTTTCCCATAAGGATAGTATGTCGTTGTTTGTGAAATATGCATTTGGAGATCCAGCAAAAAATGAACATCAAGACCTCATTAAAATTGTGGAAAAAGCAAACAGTGAACATCAAGACCTCATTAAAATTGTGGACAAATGTGATGGCATTCCTTTAGTAGTGAAAATTTTAGGAACACTATGTCAGAACACAGATCCTGGTAATTGGTTGCTAATTGAACATAATGACTTCTGGAGGGAAATCCAAGAGAGAAATAACATCATACCCATGTTGAAATTAAGCTATACGAGTTTGCCATCTCGTTTGCAAATTTGCTTGAAGCATTGTTCCTTATTTCCAAAGGGTTTTTGTTTTAACAGTCATTATCTGATCCATTATTGGATTGCGCAAGATTTTCTTCAATTTGGTGATAATAACAAAGAGTTGGAAGATATCGGGGAGGCATATTTGAATGAATTATTTCTTACGAATTTCTTTCAAGATGTGGCAAATCATGGTTATTATTTTACTTTTAAATTGCATGATTTCATCTATGATTTTGTGCTACAAGAGGCACAAAATGATTGCCATACAGGCTCAACATTTGTCATTTCATGGTATTGAAGATGGTGATAGAGAATTTCCATATATTGCACCGTACTTGTTGGCAATCATCATGAAAAGTTCTCCGTTTCAGCTTGTTACTCAATCCTTCTTTAATAGATGGACATCGAAGTTTAAGCAGATCCGCCTATTATGCTTAAGTGGTTTACAATTTGAAGTGCTACCGGATTCTATCGGGTCATTGGAACAATTGAGATATCTTGACTTATCTTGGAATTTAATTATGGTGGAACTCTCGGAGGCAATTTTTAAACTTAAGAGTTTGCAAACCTTAATACTTCTTGGTTGTTCAAGACTTAAGAAGTTTCCTGAAAATATGTGAAAACTGATCAACCTCAGATATTTGGAAATAACCACATATGCGAGTCTACTGAGAAATGAACTTGAATATTTGCCCTCTCTCCGATATCTGCACTTGTATAACTGTTACCATCTTCGAAGTTTGTCTGGAAAGATGCAAAGTCTCACCAACCTCCTAACATTGATTTTGCAAGGTTGCGATAGTTTGGAGTCGTTGCCAGACGATATAACATATCTAGAGAGATTGGAGAAGCTTGTGATACACAGTTGTTGCAGACTTAATCTGAAGATGGACTTGCAAGAAGAAGACCGCCGCCTGAACCTTAAAGTATTCATGATTTATGAACTACAAAAAACAGTAGATTTACCCCAATTGATTCTTCAACATTCTGCCAACACTTTAGAGTACATGCGGATTGATTCATGTCCCAGTCTCACAACACTGCCACCATGGCTTACAGATCTCACATCACTTCAAAAACTTGAGATTGTAAGTTGCTCAGAATTGTCATCTCTGCCACGCGGGATGGAGAAACTCACTGCCCTTAAAGAATTGAAGATACAAAAATCTCCTACCCTGAGTGAAAGCTGCAGAAGGAATCGGTTAGACATTAAGCATGTCCAGAATATTCATCTTGACCCTGCAGTTGCTTCATCATCGAGATCAGGTAAGTGTAAAACTCTCTCTTATTTTCATTTTTATAACGTCTGGTAAATGGTTTATATAAGCTAGCTTATAATGTTATTGTTGGAATACCCTTCAAGAAAAAATTAATTTATTTCTAATTCTTGACCCTGCAGTTCCTTCACCATCCGGGGACAATGAGTGATCAGTTATGTGAAAAAATCTCTCTTATTTTCATTGTTATAAAGCCTGGTAAATTTGTTTATATATATGAGCTAGCTTATAATGTTATTGATGGAACATACCCTCCAAGAAAAAATTGATTTATTTCTATTTCCCAATAGCTTATAAGCATTACCGAATTCAAGGATATGCTGTATTCTTGGCATCCACTACAAGCTATAAATATATTTTTATAATTTTGGGATTCATGCTTTGTTGTTGTAGTGTCCAATTCCATGTGCATTGTTTCTGCTACCTTTTTAATTCAAACTGTGTAAACTATACTACATGGATCAGTGAAGTGTGATAATTTATTATGATATTTAATGTATAAATCCTTCCTATAAGTTTTCTTAATCCAATATCTCCTATTCCAATTTATATCTTTTATTTCATGATCCGTATTTGATGTTAAATGTCAACAAGATCTGATTATGCCTATTATACCAGTCAGTTTTCAGGTATCCTATAGGAAGATTTTTAAAGAAAGATATTTGGATTTTTGAAACCCGTTTGCGGAATATAATTTTACTAAGAATTTTCTTGATAACAATTTAATACTTAGCTCTGACATTTTTACTTACTGTGTAACTTGTATTTTTATTTATTTTGCAGCATTCTGGAGATTCTGTCAAAAGTCTTAAGTGCAAGACGTTTCAATTCCGATTCCTGCTTATTGTGATGTTTTTATTTTTATTTGTGTCATGGATTGTTATGTTCGGCGTATTTGTTATTTTCTGAAACTTATGGTGTGCTGAATAATTTCATGAAAGGGAAGATATACTTTTCCCTATGTTATGACTGGATTCATGTAAATAATGTTTGTACTGGATAATGCTACTGTTTGTTTGGTTATTTTTGTTCCCATTCAAAGACTATGAATAATCTCAAAATAAAAGTATCTTAAATGGTGTTTTCTTTTTTCTTTTTGATATTGTTCATTACAAAGGGAGTGGCTTGCTTGCTCCCAAAATTACCTCAACAAACGAACAACCAACTACGAAAGGGAAGGCAAAATTTGTAACTTACAGTCAGGGCAGGGCAGCTTGTGGTAAAGATAATGCATTATCATGTTGAAAGTTTTAATCTACCTGACCAAATCTCATGAAAATTGAGAAAGAGAAATGGGTAGTTTTATGTCCAGGATTTCCAAGCTTTCTGCATTTTGTTAGCAAGATATCTAGTAGCATTGATGCCACCAACAGCAAGTAGACCAGACACTGCCTGTCTTGCAGTTGAAACCATTACGGTTCGTCGCAGAACCTTCGGCACGCATTTAGCTGCCTCTTTCTCTTGAACCGATTATGACTTCATTTATAGCTCGACCTGCAAAATGTTATTTTATGTAATCATTCAAGTATCCAGGATTAAGTATAGAAGGTCTAATGAAAATTTTCGATCACATGTTCTCTTACAGAAAATTGGATGCAGAATCAGTTTTAATTTGTACACTGCCTCAGAAAATAATATTTGCTATTAATCTGTGGATACCAGCTGAAGTTCATACCATATTCATTTATTCTCTTCTTCTCTCCAAGCTTCATCCCCATTTGACTTCTAATTGCTGGTGGAAGAGAAGACACAAGGGAGCAAGTGACTGGCAAGCCACAATCCTGATTCAAGCGACAGAAACATATAAGCACTTGGCGCTTTAAAGCATAAGATGACGAGAACAACGCTGTTCAAACAACAATTTCCTTAACAAAAGAAGTTTTTAAAACTGTTTTTCTTAAATTTATCATGAAAAAATAATTTACTTTCACCAGAACAAAATATGTAGTAAACAATGGAACATTGAACTGAAAATGGAGAAATCATAATTTCAAAAAAATAAAAATAAAAACCAAGTTAGATGCATAACAGTGCCCTTATAAAGAATTGATTCTAGGTAACAAGAGTAAATAGACGTTATGCTAAATTGTACATATATATGTCATATTTGGTATGAGGCTATATTGATTCAAATTTTACAAACCTGTGATATATTTGCTTGGTCAGTTCCAGATGATGAGACTCTCAAGAAGTCTTTGGCCTCGTATTCTTGAAGAAATGGCTTATACATTGAGTGGAATAAATCAAACTGTCCTTGCACAATCTTTTTCACCTGAGGCAAATTTTATACATGAAAACCAGAAACTTTCGGGGAACAAAAGAAATGCTTGTTCACTTTTGTATAACTCTTATTATTAACATAACTGTAATATATTGATGAGTGAAACAGAGGGAAGAAGAGAGGGACTCTTTCGTAAAATTCACAACATGCGAGAGTCAACCATGAACTATGCATATCAATGCTATTGAAAGCCAGAAATCAATTTTCTCAATATTTTATATAGCTGTGATCAAGCTGTACCTTGTTTTTGTCCTCTGCAAAAAGCATACGCAAATCTCCCATATATGAAAGGCTACATATTTTGGCAAACAGATCTTCCTGCACAATCAAATACCTAATCATAACTCTAGCAACTCTAAAATGAATGAGCAGTAACATGTAAGCAAACCTGTGTGAACTTGGAGGGCAAGAGAAGAAGAGCAGCAGACAATGCAGCCCTCAAATTAACAGAGTTTGTATTTGAAATATCCAGATTATCCACAAGTATGTGTACCTGCACAAGCAACACCAAGCTCCCTGAGATTGGTAAATAATACTGATATATGAGACCACAAACTCAATTTTCAGATCTCAGGTCATGATTAAGAACCAAAATCAGTGCAAAGAAAGCAGAAGATAGCTAATGAAAAGCACAGCTCAGGAGAAGAGGAATTAAGAATAATTAGCTAAACATAAGATCTCCTATCATTGATATGATCACATGTCAAATGACATCTAAGCAACATAAGGACCATACACACTCGTCAGTCATGCACATTATAGTAACATCATACTTGGCAGCTTGTCAGCCTACAACATCTTAGCTTCAAGCAATGATTGTTTCAGGGCTTTATATTGACTAGTTGGCATGACATCTAGCAATTTATCCATGGAGATGTTATTGTAGAAAATTAAGAAAAACTAGCAGGTTATATAGAAAAAGAAAGATGTTAAATCCAGGGATGAATTTGTTAGGGACTGATCACTAAATGATTAAGGAAAAACGGGATAGCTGTAGCACAACGACTTTTGCTTTAGATTAACAGTACCTATGTCTAAAATCTTGTACAACTGTCAATTTGAAAACAAACAAAATAAACAAGATCTTCAGCCACCTTTGAAGATCTCTTGAAGGTGTGATCGCTAGGTCTGATTTCCTAGTCCCTTTGCTGAAATTATGACACTAGTTCCCAAGGAAGAAATGTTGATGCATATTACAATTAAGAAGAAATGATAAAAATTTATTAAAAAAAAAATAAAAAGGGGAAGTCAGGAAGGCAGACCGGTTTCTGTAGACGACCACTTAAATAGAATCTCTCCCAGTTCAGCATGTCCTGAACAAAGTCATGCATTCCAACAACCCCATACTTCAACATCTGCCCATAATTGTTTCATGCATTAAAACACAGGAAAATTTCAATTCATTACAGAAATAAATGCAAGAAAATGATTGGAGGTGCATTTCATGCCTAAATACAGAACTCCTTGTTCATGGACAATAAGTTGGAACCAGTTCCGCACAAGTGTGCACACACACATATAGTCCTTGTATTTAACTCATCAGATTTAAGTTTTTGAAAAGTCAGTACCTTATCATTCCAGGTAACAAACGGGTTGAAGTGTACTCCTACACCTATTTCATCTGCAATTTGTGTAATCTGGGACAAGACAACCAACCAAATTTTAGTCTAAGTATAAGAAAATGAAATTTCAACATCTGTTAGGAGTGTGCCAGAGAATTGAGAGATAGAAAGAGAAATA